AAATTTAGACAATTGCTTCCTTTGCTCATGTTGATTAATCTTTAGTGGATATGGTGTTATAGCATAGGGAAAAGTCTCTAGTAGCTTCTTCCTTTGCTCCTCATGCCCTCGAGCCTTCTTCCTTATTTCCAACTTAGACTCAGTCCCCTCAGCTTTCTCAGGAGTAGCTTTGCTTCTTGTAGCATCCTTAATTCCTCTTTCAGTGGCGACGATGATGGTGGTAGTGGTGGTTATGACATCATGGTGGTGGTGGTGATGGCTGCAGCAAATGTGGTGGTGGTTGGTGACAGTGGTGGTGATGATGGCGGTGGTGGTAGTGGTGGCGAAGGTGGTGGTGGTAATGGTGGCGATGGTGGTGGTAATGACATGGTGGTGGTGGTGACGGCAGTGGCTGCGACATTGATGGTGGTGATGGTGGCAGTAGGGGTAGTGGTGGCGCTGGTGGTGGCATGGTAGTGGTGGCGGTGGCATGTGATGATGGTGACGGCAGTGGCTGTGACAATGGTAGTGGTGGGTGGTGATTGTGGCGATGGTGGTAGTGGTGGCGGTGACAGCAGTGGCTACGATGATGGTGGTGGTGGTTGGTGGCGGTGATGGTAGCAATGACGATAATGGCAGTGGTGATGGTGATAGTAATGATGGTGATGGGTGGAGGTGGTGGTGACGATGACACTGGTGGTACGACAGCAGCGACAATGGTGGCTGTAACACCTCGTGTTAACCCGGTTCATGTCATCGTATTAAGCCACACTTAATTAAAAATTTGCGGAATATCTTTTTCTGTTCAATTATGATGTCATTATCCTTACCAAGTTGAATTACTTAATTCATTTCCAAAACATTGCATGTATGTAAATTACAAATAGACAGCTAACTGAAATACCTCATAAATAAATAAGTGAGTATCTAACTCACGGATCTACAACACGTAGTCCGGACATACTCCTGATACAATTATGCAACTCGAAACAGCTAAAAACATAAAGGCAAGTCAACGTGGCATGGACAACTCCCATGCTCACCAAATAAGGAAACAACGTCTAACAGCAGTCTCAAATCAAATAACATGACAGTAAAGATAAAGCAATGTCAACATCCAACATAATTATCATAATAGCATGCAATCAGCTAAGCTCCAGCCTCCTGCCGCTAGAGGTCTCAACCCCCGCATTACCTGAACCTGAAATGGTGCCCCAAACGTGGGGTGAGATCTCTAAACAGAAATCTCAGTAAGACAAGGGGTCCTCAAGGATCTTCCACCCCAAGCTCACTTACATGTGCAATATAAGTTCCAAAAGCAGTAATTCAATATCAGTTCTGAAATCAGTGCAATGCAGCAGATAATCATGTCATGTGTGTTATAGCTATTCTACTGATCAGAGAAGTGCAGGAATACGTCTATTACCCACACAGTACCAGCCCATGTTGTACCCGCCCCCAGGACCACCCCATGGCTTCCTGGCTAGGCGAAACACCACATACATATCATAAGCATTTTGCACTTAACAACTCCATAGCATTTCAATAAAACAGTACATGAAAACACATCATGCATATAACGATCCCCCCATGGGACATGGTGGAAAATACAATGGCTAAACCGAGGACACGAAAGCTTACCTTGCAAGCTAGCTATCCAAGCCAAGAGTCCACACAAGCTCAAAGTCCAAACACAGCAGAATCACAATCTGTTTTGGACCAGAAATCATATCAATATTCAAACATACAAGCATAAGACATAAAGACAACGCCTTTCCTTTACGTTTCATGTCTTAAGGCTTTTCACAAAGCCACAAGCTCTTAATCACATTATTCCGACTTAACTTAATCATTACAGAAGTTCAACTTCCACAATCTAGGGTCCACAAACTCATAACTCAGTTCTGTATAAACAGTACCGTTACTGTTCCTCAAAAACCCAGAATATTCGGATATATGTCAGGGGCATATCCGGATATCAATATTCGGATATATGTCGGGGACATATCCAGATATCTGTCTGGCAATATCCGGATATCATTATCCGGATATTCAGAACCTCATATCCGGATATCAATATCCGGATATCCATATCCGGATATCCATATCCGGATATTTCGCGACAGAATGCAGTTCTGCATTTCGCGAGATATCAATCCAAAGGTGGTTCATTTCACGATTCTATAGGCTTAAACATGCATTTCAAGGTGTGTTCAAGCTTACCCAACCACAAGTTATTAACTTTAATTCATTACATGCATAAGGTTCCACTTTTAACCAATAAAACTCATGATCAAGGTAGGTGACAATTACCCAAGGTTCAAACAGAGCAACAATGGCTCATGGAGCTCACCAATCAGCCCCCAAGGTTCTATTTCCACAAGGACACGAAAATGGCAAGCAAGCAAGGTTCTTTCTTCACAAAGATTTCTTCTTGGTGCTTCAACAACCAAAGGAAAGGCTCCCAAAGCTCACAACTTAGAAACAACCCCTTCCCAACACACACACAGCACCCTCAACTCAGAAGATGACACCTTTCACACTCACCAATGCTCACACCCAAGTGTTTACTTGTTTAGAGGTGAAGAAATCAAAGAAAAGAGGTATCTTGGGGAGTTTTTCATGCAAGGGAGGCCAAGGAATGAAGGGCAGCAGCTGACCCTTCAGCAAAACTCACGTAGGAAGCCAATATGGCCTAGGGTTGTGTGTAAAATGAGTATATATAATGTTTTAAGTCTTAAACACACAGTATTAGCTCTAATAGCTACGCTTAGCAATTTAATCCCAAACTTAGGATTCTGAACCTACTCATTTTTCTAAGATTTATCGTATTTTTATTTTATTTTTCGCAGCACCTTTTTGGTAGGCGCTTTTTCGTAGCCAGTATCAGTTCTGGCACCAGTTCTTATTATTTTGACTTGAAACTTGACATACTAGTCCTACATAATATTCTAGTGACATATACACACTTTTCATAATTTTCCGGGATACTTCATCGGTACGCATTTATACCGAGTAGCAGAACCGGTATGTGCACCTTTCGTCAGAAAAGTGACTTTCAACATTATTAATCACTTACCAAAATTATTTAAGCTTTCTCATAATTATTAGGTTCAATTATGGAATTATTTTCTAATTTCTCATAATTAATTAATTAACTTCCTTAATTAACGGTGCGAGTTCTTACAGTGGCGGTGGTGGTGTTGGGATGATGGTGGTGGTGGTGATGATGGTAGAGGTGGAGAGTGATTGAGAGACAAATATTTCTTATTTTGTGCCCGGGAATAAAAAGCAAAAAAAAATTATTGTTTTTTCTCTTCCCCAGCACAAAAATTAAACTGGTTCATCCCGAGAACAAAAAAAACAAAACTGATTTTACCAAACGAGTTTTCCATCCATTTCTGCCCGGGAATAGAAATTAAAAAAAAATGATTTCGGGAAGGTTGTCATGCACACCCTTAGTCAATTGCAACAATGCTTTCTCCAGCTCTGAAGGATTGCTTTGTTGAGTAGCGGTGGTTGCAACTGTTGTTGTGAAAAGCCTAGAAGGTTCTTCCACTTGGGGTTGTATGTATCACCATAGGGATTGTTCTGGTTCCTCTGATCATATCAAATCTCGTTCACTTGAGCTAACTCTGTTCCCTTAAGGGCATCATAGTTGTTACTAGCCTGGCTGCCTCCATAATACTCATAAACTGGTAGTTGCACTTAACACTACAAAAATTCAGGTACTTTGTGGGAGTCATATTTTCATATTGTGGAGGTCTTTGATCCCCCCTCCCCCACAAAAGATATTTATGGCATCCCCATCAACCCCCAGTTTTGCCTGCGCCACAACACATTTTCTAGCGTCTTTGTGTGCAATGCCACAATTTGTTGAAGTATTTTCTGGAGGTTCCTAACCCCCACAAATATTGCACTTTCTAGAGGTTCCAGACACCCACAAATGTTGCATTTTCTGGAGGTTCCAGACCCCCACAAATGTTATATTTCTGGAGGTTTATTAACCTTCACAACATGTTTGACTTTCCATCGTTTATAGACCCCCACAATATTTATCACTTCTTGGAAGGCATAAACTGCTACAATTTGTTTATTATTTTGGCAAGTTTAAACTTCCAGTAAACTAGTTATCCAAATTTGAAAGGTTTATATATAATTTGAGCACTATATTCACGTATGTGTCAGTGTTACAATGATTGTCCAAGTCAAAACTGCTACGCAATAACACAAACATAATTTAGGATAAGATAAAATGCACCAACCGCCAGACATAAGTTTCATTACATGCAACCAATGTTGAATCTAATCTTTTAATCACGATGGTGGGGAGGGGACGTGGGGTTGGATCTAATCTTAATCCTCACGTTGAATTTTTTTTTAATCACAATGGTTTTGATTCAAAAAATAATAGCAACTTTTCCCCAATCAAAATAGTCAGAATTTAAATTTATTGGATAATTCCATTTCTCAACTTCAGAAAAAATATCAATTTAAGGATCAAACTTATTTTTCAAACGTATTAATATTTTACTTTGATTCTTTCATGTCTCACAGTATCACTTTATGTGCAGGCCCTGCCTCAATTGTGCTCCTTCAAGTAACTATGAGGTCACCACTACTGATATTTGATGATCTCACAATATCACCTTAGATATGAAGTTGGAATCATAAAGCCTGAGCATACCAATGTTGGACAGGAAATGGTTCCTTCCTATTCTTTCATTTGTCTGCTTGTTTTTTTTTGTATAACACGGCATTCCAATTGGGAAAATATTATTTGCAAAGATATTAGTAGAAAAATGTAACAAAACCACGTTATGTCTAAAATCTTTTGAATATATCTAGAAAACAACTCATTTATGTAATTTTGGTTGTTGATTCTTCTCAAACAATAAATCATCCAATAAATTGCAGTTGCACAATATTCATGAATCTGATATACCAATCCTTTAATAAACAGAGAGATAAAAAATCTAATAAACAACTTTAATCCAAAAAGGCTTGTACCATATTCCAGACATAAGCAACAATGTGGGAGTGTGACTGTCAACAATAATCAACCAAGATACATCATTTTTCACCTGTCTGAAACTGCCAGGCTAAAAGAAACTTATTATCATCTTCCATGAAAAGTAGTGATCCAAAATGGTGGTTTTTCTCAAATTTTGCACCAGCTCTCATATCAGCTGTTGTCAGTAATAAGGTCCTGATAAAAAAAATTATAAGAATTTTTTTTTCTTGTAATTTTTTATCAAGAAGATATTGAGATGAAGCACTGAAACTGGGGAAACCACTCAATAGTAAAGGAAGTGGTACACATATTGGAGCTCGAGAATCTGCAAAGAGATCATAACTAAGTCATGCATATAAAATTTAAACAAGTTCTGTAAGTTCAATCTTTTCCTTATATTAAAGATATATATAACTAAGTCAAAATCCATAGCTGACCTTGTAGTAGAAACTGACAGGGCAACAATAACAAGAAATGTGTACTCAGGTGCTGGTGCCAAGCCTAACAAAGCTCATGTTCCCATGAGCAATGGCCTAATACATAGTGATCCTTTCCCTGGAGGAGGCACCTGTTTGATATATTGAAATTTGAAGCTTAATTTAAGATCAATAGTCTTACTTCGTTGAAGGCAATATACTAAAAACTCTTATAGTATTAAGAAGATGAGTGTTAGTACGATTGGCAAGTAAGATACCATTATTATCTCCTTTCCATGCATTCTCAGGGATTTCCATCTTAAAGGATATTGTTATTTCCAGAGAGTGGACCTAGCATGTGCACATAATAAAAGTGAACAGAAATCAAGATATATAAAAACAAGTAACAAAAACGAACTTATATAATAAAGGGAATAACAAGAAGGATACTCCTTTGTCAGTTCTGCTACTTCGACCCTATTTAACTTTGTTAAGAATCCCAAAATTACTATCATGGATGCCACCAGCCTTGAAGATAGCGGTTTCCAGTTCTTTCTCTATAGCTACATCATGTCAAAACTTTAAGAGTAGGCAAATAGGCAGAGTTTACATTAAACTTTGTTCATTTGGAAAGATAACAGAACCAAATTCAAATAACAAACACACATTAAAATTTCACTACAGGTACTTACTTACGCATTTCACCAGGCAGGTAGGATGCAAATTTGTTTACCGTGTAGCTTCGCATTTTCGTTAAAAGCATTATGCAATTTTTTTTAATGCATCGATATGCTCTAGCAATTTCTTGAGCAAAGCATTCTGCAAAGGAATAGCAAGAAAGTAATAACATTTCAATATATCAGAGAAACGAAACTCTAAGCACTATACAGTTTAGCGTGCTTGCATTCCTTGCCTTACAATATAAGTACAATCACAAAGGAAAACTTATCATACCGCAATTTCAAGATCAGCCTTCACCGAAACTTGTTCACTAATTTCTATGCACAAGAAGAATCAATGATGCATGACCACATTACATCGTCTCAGAGAAGAAAAATATTAAGAAATTGATACAAAATTCAAATATAACCTGAAGTGAACTTCAAATTGGCAAAACTCCTGATGAAGTGAAATCTGTGGAGGGACACGAAGAAAGCGATGCTAGTAGAATAGCACGATACCAAATCTTATTGAATTGGTTCAAGCTTTTGGAGACTGGAAATCCTAGTTTCTGTATTGCAAAATTAATTTACTTAGTGAGAGGCAGGGAAGAGGAAAAGAACAAAATCGTATTTAAGAATTGCATCGTGGGTTTTTCTAATTTGGGAAGAAACAAACTTAAATAAATTTGTAGCGGTCGTTAAATATTACATGAATATTTTAGCGGTTAAAACCTACCACAAAATTATATAATTTAACTAAAATAATGATTCCTAAAAATTATATTGTATCGTGGGTTTTTCTAATGTGGAGTTCTCTAAAAATGCCACAATTTGTATACTTTTTTGGAGGTTTAAATGACCCCCAATAAATAACCTCCACAAATATCACATTTTTTTGTAGTGTGAATGGCATAAACTTGGAGCTTCTCAAACATACTAGTTAGATTTGCAATTTGTTTAGACATAATCTTCTGCTGGGCTAGCATTGCATTATTGCTCTCTAACTGAAGAACTACATTCTTTGACTGCACCGGAGCACTCTCATTCTCTAATGAGGCTATAGACTCAAATAACTCTAGTGCCTGAGTCGGTGTCTTCTGTCTCAAGGAACCTCCTGCAGCATCATTGATAACCATTCTTGAAGCTGGTGTTATCCCGTTGAAGAAAACTCTCACTTTTTGTCCAGATGGTAATTCATACTGAGAACATATCCTTAGCAAGTCCTTGAACCTTCTCTATGCAACGCACATAGATTCTTCTTCTTGCTAAGTGAAGTTTGTGATGTCATTCGCCATCTGATTGTACTTAGACATTGGGAAGAATTGGGCCAAGAACTTCGTTGCTAAATCATCCAAGGAACTAATGCTATTTACTGGCTGTTAACTCAACCAACTTAGTGCTTTTTCCTTCTATGAGAACTGGATAATCTCAAGTGAATTGCGTCGTTAGATATTCAATTGAGCTTGACGGTGTCATATATCAATAGAAACTTGTCCAGATGGAAGTGAGGATCCTCCACATCGTCTCCTCCAAATTGGTTTTGTTAGACCAACATGAGCAATGTCGGCTTGATTTCAAAGTTGTTAGCCTCAACTGTTGGTCTCACTATGCTTGATGTGGGCCTAGGGAAGTTCGAAGTCAAGAAAGCATCCATCAACTCCTCTTGAGGTGGATTATTGTCTGCCATCGCGACTTCTGTTGTTGACTGAGAACTCGAGGCTTCTTCTTATTTCTTTTCCCTTCCGAGCTTTCTATTTCTTTTTTCAATTTTCTCTATTTCTGGATCAAATTGCAAAAAGCCGGTGCCAACGGTACCTCGCATAAACTAGAAATATTATAATTAATTTAAAATATAATATGCTAAACTTAAAATAACTAAATTAAAAAATAAAAAATAAAAATAAAAACAAAATCTAATAAACAAAATTAAATGAAAATAACAGAAAAAGAAATCCAATCTAAAGTATCAATAGCTACTACTATTGTTGAAATAAACTAATTTCCGACAACGGTGCCAAAAACTTGTTGCGAATACGGCAAGTATCCCGGTCGTACAAGTAATAAAGAAGTGAGTAGAGTATCGTTCTTATGAAGATTAGTGTTTCAAGCACTAGTTCACTATTTTTACTTAAGTTGGACAAATCAAATTTGGTTTGAGAAGAATAATAGAAATCCAATTATAAAGAAGACAATTAAAAGAACAAATGCCAAACAATAATTAAATGCAAGAAAAGAATTCTAATAATTAAAGATGTATAAAACGAAGAATGGAAAACGTAGTTTAAGGTTTATTTCACCTCAGATCCCTCTTAAGTAATTTAACTCAATTCAATAACTCCTTATCCTAATTATTTTAAATAATTCATCATCTAAATATTTAGTTAGTTAAATCCTAATATTTTAGTGCCTTTAACCCTTTAATTGGAATTATAATGTCTTCGTAACCCGTTTTAGATTAAGTTTTAAACGCGATAAATTACATAAATTTGCAATTCTTATAAGCCTATGTCTAGATCATGCAAGAATTGATGTTCTACTCCTATCTAGATTAAGATCTCAATGTGTCTATTGTGAACCCTAACTCTTTTTATTCCTATATAATTGGCCAAATTATACAAGAATTTGAACATACAAATCAAGGTAAACACAAACAATTTGAGACAAATTGTTATTGAAAAGAAATTTTTTTTTTTTTTTTTTGGTACCCTTATTGAAAAGAAATTAAATCAAACAAGGATTCACGTTAGATCTATAACCCTAATTACAAAGAAAGTTAGCCAGACAAAGCTAGCTTAAACAAAATAATTAAATAAAAGAAAATAAATGAACAATAAAAGAAGAAGAAATGTTGATCTCCAATGCTAAGCTTTGATCTTCCTTAATCTTCGTCTTGCTTTCTGAAAAAATGGGATTATGCTCTGGTCTCTGCATTCCTTGCTTTCAGAATGTGCTAGCCTCCTCTTTTGTTTTCAAGAGTTGCCTTTTAATAGTGATGAAATCATATCTTTTAATTTATCATAAGATCTTCAATGGAATCTTTACTAGAATCTCCAATCATATTTTTAATCAAATCCTTAAAATTTTCCTTTTTATATTTAAAGAAAAACTTTCCTTAAAAATATTTAAGAAAATCTTCAATAAGATTATCAATCAATTATATGATTCAGAAATCCAAAACAAATCCACTTGAGCTCTTCAATTTATCTTTTATTGTGTTGGAAATTCTTGCAAAATATAAGAAATTTTATGAGAATATTACTAAGAATAAAATAACACTTTAATTATAATTATTATAATTTTTAATTATTTTTAAATCAATTTCATGCTCATTTAACCCTTAATACACAATAATTTGGAGACACATCAGGTGGTACAATGACGACAATAGTGGCAGTGTTGGGATTATCAGGGTGGTGGTGATGGTAGTGGTGGAGAATGATTGAAAGAGACAAGTGTTTCTCAATTTGTACCTAGAAACAAAAAAAACAATTTTTTTTATTCTTTTTTCTGTTCTCTAGCATAGAAATTGAACTTCTTCATTATCGGGAGCAAAAAAATAAACCGATCGTTTCTATCTGTAAGAACCCGCACCGTTAAATTAGGAATTTAAATTAATTAAATGAGAATTTAGGAAATAATTCCATAATTGAACCTAATAATTATGATAAGGCTTAAATAATTATAGTAAGTGAGTATTAATGTTGAAAGTCGCTTTTCTGACGAAAAGTGCAGATATCGATTCTGCCTCACGGTATAAATGCGTACCGGTGAAGTACCCCGAAAAATTATAATAAGTGTATGAATATTCCTAGAATAATATTTAGGACTGGAATATCAAGTTTGAAGTCAAAATAATGAGAACTGGTGCCAGAACTAATACTGACAGCGTGAAAATGCGTACCGAAAAAGTGTTACGAAAAATTAAAATAGAACTATGAAAAATCTTAGAAAAATGACTAGATTCAGAATATGAATTTTGAGATTAAAATGATAAGTGTAGCTATTAATGCTAATATTGTGCTATTAAACTTAAGTGAGTGCACTATAAATAGCTAAAGGGCACAAAACCCTAGGGTATTTCAGAAAATCTGAGCAGCCCCCTTTCTTCTCAAACTTTAAATATGCTCTCCACCATTCCCAAGAAAGATTGTACCTTTCTCCATAAAAGTTCACAAAGAACATACTTTTATGCTTCATTCTTCTTCTTACTCCTCTAAACTCTTGGGAGCTTGTGATTAGTGAAAGAAAAATTCACTCTTGGAGCATTTAAGGTTCTGTTTTGGGGTGTTTTGGGGCTGACCACTTGAGCTTAGGGTGTGGGAGCCATTGTTACACTCTTGGAAGCTTCAAGAACCAACCTCTGTGAAGAAAGAACATACATTGGAGTGGGATTTTCGTGCACCACCAAGTCAGTAGCTTGGAGCACCTTCAAAGTCCTCAAAGTTCCCCCATTTCTCTGTTTTCAAAGGCTCTTAGGTAACCCCTCATTATTTCCTTTGTAAATTCATGATCAAAGCTTGTTTTGAGTCTTTTAAAAAGGAAAACTTTGATGATTTAAGTAAAAGGTTGTTAATTTAAGTGTAATATGGTAGTTTGAACTTCTGTTTGTGGGTAAATCGAAGGTGGGAACCTTGGGAGGCCATTGGAGCTCGGAATATGCAGAAAAATCTACATTTTTGCGTTTCTGCACAGGTGGTAATCGTCGATTACCATGAAGGGTAATCGATTACCCCCTGTATGGTAATCGATTACTTAGTGCAAATGTGACAGTAACGACCTAGTTTAGTAAAATTGTGATATCTCGAGCTACATAGCTCCAAATTGAGTGAGATTTGAACCTATGTGAAGCTGACACATAGGGATACAACTCTGTAAAATTTAGTAGCCATTGGATAACTGGTCTGATCGCAGTGTCAATTTTAAATCGCATTTTAGTTGTTGGAAACACCGTTTGCAGCAGTCACCTTGCGTAAAACATAACCTGAGTTATACAACTCTGATTGTGACATAAAGTATATCGTTGGAAACCTTAAGATGTCTAGTTTAACATTGTAAAATCTTAAAATATTTTGTAAAGAGATGAAATTGCAGTGTTGAAAATGGTAAAGACAGTTTAGTGCTTGTGGCTTCGGAAAGAGCCCGCAGTAAGCGAAATAAAAAAGAAATAATGTTCGTATTAAATCAGAAAACTATGATATGTTTATTGATAGTATGAATGTTATGAAAACAGATCTGTGACTTTGCTGGACACTGTTATTACTTGTGATCCTTTGGACACCGAGTCATGAGGGAGGGTTTAGCTTGACAGGTAAGCTTTCGTGTCCTCGGATTGATCTGTTACTTGTTCCACCGACCTCCATGGGAGGGTGGTTTATATGCATGTATGTTTTTATGAAAGATGAAATATGCATTGATATATGCCTGAGATATGTTAAATTAAGTGTCGAAGTAATGTATAAAAGTGATGTTGATTACTTACACAATCAGACTGCGACTCTGGTGTGTAAGGCATGTAATGTATGAAAATGATGTGATTACTTATACAATCAGACTGCGACTCTGGTGTGTAAGGCATAAGACTGCGACTCTTATGT